AAGTGATTCTACGCGAGCCTTCAGATGTGTCGTGAATAATTAAATGTTCGCCCTTACTTCATCCAAAGGAAACTTCACTTGACCTTAAACCACTTTTGTTTCACGACCATCTTGCGTTGGAATGTCTGGACAATTTTACAGCAATTGCCCCTCTCGCTATGAAGAAGGGCCAACACCTGAAACGTCCCGTTTTTATAAAAAAAATCTCCTTTTAAGGCCACAGTGTGACTGACACGCGCGTTGAGTGTTTGTGTCCACTGCGCACCAAAGATCCCCCTAAACAGACTGTAGGGGCAAGTGCTGTTAGCGAGCACCTATGAAGGCCGGCACGGCGCACGATGAGGTGGGTGGCCAACACCACGCCCGGCCGCCTTTGTCTCCCCAGTGGCGATGTTTACGCATCGCACCAGGTACTCATTTGAGGCTGAGTCGACCTAGGGGAGGCCCAGGGTCGTTTCAGATATCGTCGCCGGTGCTGGCCGTGAGCGGGAATCAAACTCGGGTCACCGGGTTCGTAGCGCAGCGTAGCGCTAACCGCTGCACCACCGCTCCCCGTTGCGCACCACTGGCCAACTCGGCAGCATGACCAAACATTTTTTTAAATTTACAATTCTTAAAAAAAGACTTCCGATGTTGAGAGTAAGTGGAGCGCCTCGAGCAGTGTTCTTCACTAATTCTCAGGGGGGTGAGGCCACTTTCGCCGGTACAACGAGGGCCGCCACACGACTTGAAACCATCTGGGGGTTTGAGAGCAGCACGATGACGGTGATGGAGGGTGTAGTCATCTCGGTCATCTCAGTCAGTCGACTCGTGGCACCTGGGTCTGCCTCGTGACCTCCTGCCAGCGGGCGTTCGACACTTCACGTGGCCTCAAGGTGCACATGGCCTGGCACAAGCGTCGTGGTGACGTCACCGCCACTTAGTGGCGAATGGCGGTTGTTGTTGTCACTATTTGTGTGCTGTCAGGGGCCGCAAGTCACGGGCCGCACTAAGAGACCATCAGGGGTCGCCAGTGGCCCACTGACATTGCAATGAGGGACACTGGCATAGAGACCCACGGATATGAGAGGTTCAAAGTGGAAGGTCCTCCCACACCGGTCATAAACCCACTTGCTGTACTGCCGTGCCCCTGTAACATCTTTGCCCAATATAGTTTGGAGTCACAGCACCACGATCGAAGTGTGGATTCACCAACCTCTGCCTCAAAAGCACCGAATTTACAGGATTGCAAATGATGTGCGTGTGTGTAGCGGTTAGCGCGCTGCGCTACGAACCCGGCGACACGAGTTTGATTCCCGCTCACGGCCAACACCCAGTGACAATTATCTGAACCGGTCCTGGGCCTCTCCTAGGACGACTCAGCCTCAAATGAGTACTTGGTGTGGTGTGTAAACATCGCCACTAGGGAGACAAAGGCGGTCGGGCGTGGTCTTGGCCACCCACCCCCTCGTGTACCGTTCCGGCCTCCATAGGTGCTCGCTAACAGCACTTGCCCCTACAGTCAGTTAAGGCTATACGGGGGATCTTTTTATATTTTGTAACACTTGAACCCCATTATATTTGTAAAAAAGTAATTGTATCGAAAAATAGCCAAATGCTGAGTGATCTGACATTACCATTTACATAGCCGTCGTCATAACCCTTACAGCAACCCGTCCAGATGTTTAAAGCCATAAACTTCCTCGCGTGAATATTACAAAACCAGTCGCTAAATATTTAAAAGCTTAGCCTGCAACCTCACCAATTCACACACAAAGATGCCCCGTGTGGGTGACTGCTGCCTCGGTGCTGTCATTGAGAGAGTCTATACAGCTTCGTGGCCACGGTGTCCGCAGGTACTTTACAGGTGCGCCGTGTCTCCCTTGCTCACATCTTGAATGCCACTGTAAGCATATTTCCCCGCTCTTCCGGTTAGCACCATTGGCTACGTGCGGTGCGAAAGAAGTTCAACGTACACGCGTACGAACGAGTCCACAGGCGCGCGAGTTGCCCGGCAAAGAGGCGCAACGCGACGGTGCTCACACGCCGGTCGCGCATTTCCAAAAAACGGCGTCCGCGGCTTCTCCATCCCCCACCGCCCCCCTGGTACGTGCCACGAAACGCACAGCCCCCCCCCCCCCCGTGCGTACACGCCACCTAACTCCGCACGCAGCAACGCACGAGCGCGAGGCTGCCCCCCCCCCCGGGTGGACGCTTCACGCACAACGAGTGGCGCGTGAAGCCGCCGTTTGCCGCTGCGCGTGCACGGACCATGTCACTTGCGCTCAGTCCACTGCGCGCCGACGAGGGCGTGATGTGCGTCCCGCGTCGATATTCTATGCGGTCACCGCGACAATGGAGCTTGTGTGGGTGTTTGTGCCGCCGTAATATGTTGCGTACACTACCGGGGCGGAGGGGGGTTTGAAAGAGAATGGCGGAGGTCGAGTGCATTGGTCACCGGGTTCCGTGGGGCAGCGTGCTCACTGTGGCGCTACCGCTCCCCCAGTCTCATCAGAACCACCAACAACACCACCACCAACAACACCACCACCAACAACACCACCACCAACAACACCACCACCACCAACAACACCACCACCAACAACACCACCACCAACAACAACAACAACACCACCACCACCAACAACACCACCAACAACAACACCACCGTCTGAATTGAGGTCTTCCCCTTGATGGCAAACCTCTGGGTGCCACTCCAATGCCTGTCTCGGTAACCTGCCCTCCTCCACCCTGCACGTGTCCACCCGTCACAACATCCTTGTTAGATTCGCTCATCCATTCTGCTACAGGGTAAGACAAAACATTGGTAGACGTGGCCACAAGCGACGCACAGACAAGATGAAGGTAACTGCATCTAAGCTTAAAACTAAACTATTTAAAAAAATTACCAGGTAAGGTCCACTGAGCTATGTAGCTCTTTTTCAGAAGCAACCTGGCCACAAATTATACTTCTACAAAGTGGCTTATCACGTGGAAATTTATATCAGCAGCTAAATACTCTAAACGCGCGATGTTGATTCTAAATGTGTCGGTGGGAAACCGTAAGTCTCGGAGAAAAATCAACGCGACCACGGGGAGAGAGAGAGAGACACGCAAACTCCAAATATACAGCAGGCGTGATCGAACCCATGGGATCCTGTAGACCAGGCGAGGCAGTGAACATCTCGCCACCGCAGCACCTGCTTGAACTCTCAAGGTCAAGGTCGAGAGGGCATCACGACCAATAGCCATTGGTACCGCCACACCTCCCCATCGCCTATCTCCTTCTGCCAGATCCCCCAGCTATTGTGCAGCCGACACCCGACCTTCTTACAGCCTCAACAAAGACCCCCCTGTGTAACCTTTAACAGACTTTGGGGACAAGTGCTGTGAACAAAGCGCCTATGAAAGGCGGCACGCCACGCGTTGGGGGTGGGTGGCCAGCACCACGCCGACCCAGCATTTGACTCCCTCGTGGCGATGTTTACACATTGCACCAGGTACTCATTTGAGGCTGAGTAGACCTAAAGGGACAGGCCCAGGAGCCGGTGAGATAATCGTCACTGGTGTTGGCTGTGAGCGCAGCGTGCTAATTGCTGCGCCACCGCTCCCTAGGTCTTTTATTTGATGGCAAACCTCTGGGTGTCACTCCAATGCCCGTCTGTGTAACCCGCCCTGCACTTGTCCACCCATCACAACCTCCTCTTGCTGATTACACCTACAACGTGATCTTGTCACGTTATATTCTGAACTACAAAGTTTCTTAGCCTGCCATGAATTTTTTATCATTATCCACACGCACCCATGTTCATTATTGAAGGTATAAATTACATGTACTCCGACCGTATAATTAGCCTTTGCAGAAGCGCCTGCATTTATGTTTGAAATTTCCACCTGTTCTCCGCTACTTCCATATACCTCTTACGTGCAGCCGGCCCTGTGTTTATGTTTTACACACATTACTGTGACGCTCATTTATGTCGCCTTGTTTAAGGCCTCAGAAATGCTATGCTTTTTTTATTATCCGAAATGTTGTGGATGCCTCTTAGCCATATATAAACATTTTGCAGTTGTTCAGACACTCAGGACACCCGTAGTGGCTGTGTACATGGATGCACTCACCCAGATTTTCAGCCAGCCGCCTTACCAGCAGTATAGCTAGATACAGTATCTACCCAACCAGCCATTCATCCAGCCACCCAACCAGTCAGCCGCCTACCCAACAAGCCACCCATCCAGCCACCTACCAAACCAAACAGTCGGCCACCCACCCGATCAGCCATCCAACTAACCAGCCACCCAGACAACCAATCATTAGCACAATTGGCACCTCCAATTAGCACGGTTGGCTACGCACGGAGCGAAAGAAGTTGAACAAACAACCGGCCACCCAACGAGCAATCCACTAAAACCACCACGAGTGAGCCAGCCAGTCATCCTAAGCAGCGCAAGCCACGTAGCCCCCCCACCCCCACACCGCAACCCAGCCATCAATCCAATCGCCCACCTAACCACCCAGCTAGCCGAACCGTCGCCTCGCCTGTAGCGCATGCCCGTGCGGGTGGCCGCGCTTTCAGCGACCCACCAATCCAATCGCCCAGCCACCCACCCACCCAGCCATCGGCTCACCTGCAGCGCATGCCCGTGTGCGTGGCCGCGCTGTCAGCGATCCATCAATCCAATTACTCACCCAGCCAGCCACCCAGTCACCCAGCCAGTCACCCAGCCAGCCACCCACCCAGTCAGCCACCCACCCAGTCACCCAGCCAGCCAGTCAATCAGCCACCCACCCAGCCACCCATCCAGCCACCCAGCCAGCCACCCAGCCAGCCAACCCAGCCACCCACCCAGCCACCCACCCAATCAGCCACCCAGCCAGCCACCCACCCAGTCAGCCACCCAGCCAGCCAACCCAGCCACCCAGCCAGCCACCCACCCAGCCAGCCACCCAGCCACCCACCTAGCCCACCCACCCACCCAGTCACCCACCCAGTCAGCCACCCAGCCAGCCACCGCCTCACCTGTAGCGCATGCCCGTGCGCGCCGCCGCGCTGTCTGCGAGCGAGATTCCGTGCACGTTGAGGAAGCGCTCGACGTCGCGCATCTTGGCGAGGGCGCGCGCGTCCCTGGCCGCCCGGCTCCGCGCCTCGTCGCCCGAGTGGCTCCTGCCGCCGGAGCCCATCGCGGACGAGGAGGGAGCCCCGGGCACCCCGCGACCCACGCCCGAGGTCGTCGCTGCCGATTTGTGCTTCTTCACCGGCGCTTTGATGCGGTAGAGGTCTTCGATGGCCATCGCGGCCCCGCGGCCGGCAGGGACGGTGGGGTTGGCGGGACGCGCCGTGAACATGGTCCTGCCGGTCGGTGTGTGTGTGTGTTGTGTGTGGGGGGAGCTCTATGCGCGCGTGTGCGTGTGTGTGTCTATTCAGCTGTATGAGTGAACTGTTGGACTGTATAAATGAACTTTTTCTGCGCGAAAGTTTGAGACTATTATGTGTGTGTGGAGCTCTATGTGTGTGGGGAATTCTAGGCGTGTGTGAATGTCTATTGAGCTGTACGAGTGAACTTTATCTGAGTTTGATACCCTATGTGTGTGTCTATATGTCTATATGGAGAATGCATGTATTTGTTTGTGGGTATCTATTGGGCTACATGAGTGCTTGTTTGTATTTGTGTGTGTCTATTGGGCTAGATCTATGTGTCTCTATGTCTCATGGGCTTAATATGAATGTGTCTGTTGGGTTAAATGGGTGATGTGTGTGTGGCTAAATAGGTGATGTTTGTCTCGTGTGTTGAAGTGTGTTTGAAGTTAAATGGAAGTAATGTATTTGTGTAAATTGGGCTAAACGCGTGATCTTGTCCGTGTATCTACCACATTAAATCATATCTGTTTGCAAGCTAATGTCCATATAGCTAACGTGATTATCTGTGTGCGAATCGGTGTTTGTATACAAATATAAAAAGTGCATTTCTGTGTAGTATGTACTGCATGTATATATGCCTAATCAGTTATCTGTGTTGGTGTGCGTAGCCGTGTGTGTCTTTGTGTCCAAAGCTAAATTGCGACTTCCACGGTTGTGTAGTTGCGTGTCTCTCAAAAGCTGATCGAGTGACCTTTGCCAACAGCCTGGCGTTACAATAGCGCTCACTCGATGCTGCTGTGTTCACGATGATTCTTGTCTAGAAGCGCGTGCACGGCTAAACGTGCGATCTTTTGCTAAACTGCAGATTTGTACGTGTGTGTGTGTGTGTGATTCTAGGGTAAACGCGGTAGTGTCTGTGTGTGGGTGTGATTCTAGGGTAAACGCGGTAGTGTCTGTGTGTGGGTGTGATTCTAGGGTAAACGCGGTAGTGTCTGTGTGTGGGTGTGATTCTAGGGTAAACGCGGTAGTGTCTGTGTGTGTGTGATTCTAGGGTAAACGCGGTAGTGTCTGTGTGTGGGTGTGATTCTAGGGTAAACGCGGTAGTGTCTGTGTGTGTGTGATTCTAGGGTAAACGCGGTAGTGTCTGTGTGTGGGTGTGATTCTAGGGTTAACGCGGTAGTGTCTGTGTGTGTGTGATTCTAGGGTAAACGCGGTAGTGTCTGTGTGTGGGTGTGATTCTAGGGTAAACGCGCTAGTGTCTGTGTGTGTGTGATTCTAGGGTAAACGCGGTAGTGTCTGTGTGTGGGTGTGATTCTAGGGTTAACGCGGTAGTGTCTGTGTGTGTGTGATTCTAGGGTAAACGCGGTAGTGTCTGTGTGTGGGTGTGATTCTAGGGTAAACGCGCTAGTGTCTGTGTGTGTGTGATTCTAGGGTAAACGCGGTAGTGTCTGTGTGTGTGTGATTCTAGGGTAAACGCGGTAGTGTCTGTGTGTGTGATTCTAGGGTAAACGCGGTAGTGTCTGTGTGTGTGTGGCTGGATGTGGTGCTGACAACACCACCCCCTATGCATATACCGTGACGACGTTAATAGGCGCTCGCTAACAACACTTGCACGTCCCGCGGAGACGACTCGACACGTTCAGCACCGCCATCCTGCTCGGCTTTGCATCTCGGCACTCGCTCGCAACGCAGGTGGCCCCTATGACGCTGGCCGGAGTGAAACCTTACACTGCACCACGTAACACTACATTAAATACAACAACAGCCACAACAACAACAGATAACACTGGGACCACTTTCAGCGTTGTCCGCCGGCTGGAGGTCGTAAATAAATTCGGTGTTTTAAACAACGCGGCCGAACTGCTCCCTCCCACTGCTTCCCTCCCGGAGGCGCTGTCCTTCTAACTGAACCGTAACGAGTCGGGGCCGAGAGAGCAAGCGACTTCAACTTCACACGCAATGGCCCTCGTCCTCAATATCCCTCCTCCTCTTCCTCATCCTCCTCCCCATTTGTCCCCATTCCCCACCCCTCATAGAGCGGTTGATGTAATTAAGCTGACACGGATCCGATGTCCCGCGCAGAATGGCCAGAGGTAATTAAATTGAGTGACCAACTTGTTTGAAATCGCGACACGGCCGTGTTGAAACCAAAAGCCGCGCTCCGAGCGTGCCAGCCCATGTAATGATCACGTACGCGCCGTGCCAGAAACTCCACTAGTCTCGTGCGCACAGGGTACCCCGAGGCGACCACGCGGGCTACAGGTGAAGACAAAACAAATATCCCCTCTCCCCCCCTCGCCCGCATAGGCCTTTAACAGGCTGTTAGCGAGCACCTATTAAGGCCGGCAAGGCGCACGGGAGGGGTTGGTGATCAGCACCACGCCCGGTCGAATTTGTCTCCCCAGAGCTGATGTTTACACACCGCACCAAGTGCCTATTTGAGGTCGAGTCGACCTATGGGAGGACCGGGACCTCTTCAAATGTTCGCCACTGTCATATTGGTCGTGAGTGGGAATTGAACTCGGGTGGCTGGTTTTGTAGCCGCCCTCCACACTCAAGGCTCATCCTTCTTATCGGAGTCAAATAAAAACAAAATATTGCTACAATTTAATTTATTTTATACCTACGTGACTTTACCGAAAGAACCAAAGAGTACTGCTACAATCGTTACAGAGGGGGTGAGAGCCAGAGCAGAATGCACGACAGACATTAGCAGCAATAGCGCCACGATGGCGAGATGTTAGCTCCCTCGCCTCGAATACAGGAGGTCATGGGCTCGATCCCGACCCTGACGGCTGATGTACATTTGGAGTTTGCGTGTCTCTCTCCCCGTGGTCGCGTGGATTTTTCTCCGGGTTTTTCCCTCCGCGTTTGGAATCAACATGCGTTGATCGAACCCACGACCTCCTGTATACCAGGCAAGGTATTTAACATCTCGCCACCACGGCGCCCAGTAACTATAAAACCATGCTTAGCCAAACCCAGCGACGTATGCGGTAGGCTGCCCGTTAATAAAATCCTCCTTATTTTTGTTGACTGCGTACCAATTTTAAAATCGAACCACGCCACTTTACAAAACCGCACGATTGTTACGAGACATTTTTTTATACTAATAATTTCTGTAACGATATTAGCCCATTGGCCTATGCGCGTTTCACATGTGTGTGTGGGGGGGGGGAGCTTCATAGTTCATCGGATTTTTCTCCAGGATAAATAAAGATTCCGATTCTGCTTTCTGGGTCTACGTGTTACAGCGGCATTATATACAGCAGCAAACTCTGATCTGGTGTTTTTGCTTCTCCAAGTCTCATCAGCAGAGTCAGACCTGTTCGTGAAAAACTTTTGCAAGCTGATGCCCGGTGTTATGGGCGTGGGGCGGGCCCTCTGTTGAACACCATTGTGGCACAGAGTCATTGTATTAACATGTGAACTGTGGACAGTTGCATTGTAAACAAACAGACGAGGCCGCTTCGTCGAGTTAAACAAATCCCACGAAAGCAGCTCGGTGCATTCGCCTGCGAGTGTTCTCAGCGGCGTGGGTAGCGTAGCCTCTGCCGCGACTAATGAAGCGCTCCCTCGACTCATCACGTTGGCGCGACGTTGATCCAACGTCAATCAACGTTGGCTCAACGTCCACCGACGTTGATCCAATGTCAGTCAACGTTGGCCAAGCGTCAGTCAACGTCGATCCAACGTCAGTCAACGTTGGCTCAACGTCAACTAACATTGGCCCCGCGTTGCATCTTTACGGGGCCTGGCTAGTCTCCCCTCCTCTTCATAGCCCCCCACCCCACGTGCAGCTGCGCACACTGCCCACGCGCGCGCGCTGCGAGCGTCTTCTGGGGCAATGCCGCGCCGAGTGGCAGCAGCCCCACACCTGGCGGGCAGGTAAGGTGAGACGGTGGGGGCCCTGGCGCGCATGGGTGGGGTGGGTGGGGTGGGTGTGGGGTGGGGTGTGGGTGGGGTGGGTTGTGTGGGTGGGTGGGTGGGGTGGGGGTGTAGGTGGGGGTGTGGGTGTGGGTGGGGTGTGGGAGGGTGGAGGTGGGGTGGTGTGGGTGGGGTGGGGGTCGGGTGGGGGTGGGTGGGGTGGGTGAGGTGTGGGTGTGGGTGGGGTGGTGGGATGGGTGGTGGGGGGTAGGGGGATATCATAACATCTGCACACAGATCAAACTTCATCGAGCACACGCGAAATGGATATAAAAACGGTGGACACGGGAAGAGCCAACAGGGCGCACGAGAGGAAACAAACAGACGGAGTTTTTGCACCACGGCTCGCTCGCTCGCACGGCCATACATACGGGGGGGGGGGGGGTGTCGTGTTGCCGGCACAAATAACATAACTGCAATGGACGCGTCGGGCTGCAGGGGATTAATTAAATCGACGCTCGGGGGCGCAAGAAAAATACGAGCTGGGCAAGGCGGTCTGATAGCTGAACCTCCCGGGGTTATTCATTGTTTATATACAGACCCGGTGGATCGTGTACTTGGACGAGCTGGCGGCAGCTGGCGGCTGTGTTGTACTAAGAGAGGGGCACGGGTGTGGAGAGGTTCCTGGGTGAAGGGCACCGCAAAGACCAGGACCGGTGGTTACGAAAATTCCACAAACGCAGCAGTGGTTTGTGGTCAGGGCTTTATTGGAGGAACGGTGTCTAGAGCGTGGCATTTGAATGGGATGGGTGGGACGAGGGTTGCCACCTCTGTGGTACAAAAAGCCAGGACAAAGAAGAGGTACATCTCAATGCTGACGGTGGGGAGAATTACACGTCACATGCACTGTCTCGAGAGGTGTGTTATTACGCAGCTGACCAAGACTTTAAATGTCCCCCGGGAAAACGTTTACATAATTCCGAGGATAAATTTCCTAGCTACTTCCAGAAGGGATCGGAAGCACAGGTTTCGGAAGCTCAAGTTGGGCACTTATCTTTCTAGAAGATGAGTGGAGGCGTTCTCCCAATTAACACACACAAAGACACACAGCGGATATGGGGAAAAGCCACGTGTCATTCATTGTCTCAGCCCTTCCTCCACGTATGCATTCTGTTGGTTTCCTGACAACTATTTTCCACCGCGCGTTACGCAGACCTGCCCTTGCATTGCCCATATCACTCTCACAATGGCCGCGCACAATTGACTCCCAAAGGCCAACAAAGCACTCGGCTACTTGGCAAACACCTGCCATGCACGCGTGCGTGCCCCTGAATGGACGAGCGGATAAACACCCCCGCTGCACTGAGCGGTGACTGCTGTTCGTGAGCCCGTCGCACTGGACAGCGGCATAAGGTTCATAATAATAACAAGAAGAAGAAGAAGAAGCTTGTGTCACCTGCTCATTGGTCACTGAAGATGGGCCCGTGTGCGGCCAAACTCCGCAGCTGAGGCCGCAAGTGACCACTCACTCTGTGGACGAGGTCAGAGACACGCCGTGGCCCCTGACAGGACCCGATGGTTGTCTCAGGGGCCCACCCTCCACACCGCTGATGAAAGCGGCTGTCGCCTGGCTCGGCAGGACAATAACGCTGACCTTTTTTGCTTAAGATACTCGCGATCTGGGTCATGCAAATTTAATAGAAAATCACATCGATGCATCCAATAAAAACAATCCCTCTATTGGATGAGTCTAGCCGAGAAATCTCACGTGCAGTGGTCGGTTCAAGATACGTTGTGAGCTGAGATTATATCAATGTCTACCAGCCTCTGGGGCGCGCACGAGTCATCCTTGTTAATCAATCTGATGGATCCCCGTGCTGTTGTGTTGGCTTCCACTGCGTCAACAAAAGTCACCATAGCCGATGTTTGCCCGTTACTGCGCATAGACGGCTCGCTTTGCCAGGAGCCACATTTCTCAGCAACCCGGACCCTTTTGTCCAGGTTTTGGCAAGTCCCTTTCGATGCAGAGTCCCGATCATAGACCGAATTCGGGACTCCACGGGGAACTCTTTGAGTTGAGTTGCCTTCCAATGGGTTTGCAAAACAGTGCCAGCGACTTTCCAAAGCTAAATAGAATTCGTACTTGCAGGTCTTCAGTGGGACACGTGTCTTATTTACCACGATGATATCGTTTTCGGTCGCTCTTTCGAAGAACACGTGTGTCACCTAAGTTACGTGTTTTGTCCCCCGATTTAGAAATGCAAAATTAAAGCTGAAGGCCTCCAAGTGTCAACTTGGTGCAGTCATCTGTTTGCCAATTCAACTCGTAGGCTTTCGAGACCGATATTATCCAAAATAACGAAATAGGAGGACTGCATTCACAATCCTGGCTATCACCAGCGAAACGTCGTGCTAGAATTGTAAACGTCGTAGATTTACTCTTCAATACACCGGTGTGCTGGACTAGTAACCAATTGGCCATGTTTTGTTCCCGTGACAACCCTCACTAATTGGCTGTGTCGGGCGGTGGCGGGTTTAACGACACATTTATATGTACGCGATATAACCCAACAACAACAACACAATCCAACAACAACAAGAACCCCTCTATGATAATCTGTGTGCTACTTGGGTCCTGTGGTTGGTGAGTGGCCACAGGCCCTGAGAAGACGGCGTTTTGTGCGGACATGGGCCCCTTCCTCTGACAGTCTCCGACATGCGTGTATGCTATTGGGCTTCGTGTCTTACCATTGCCACGTTATTCCGAGTTTCACCACCGTTGCTAAGCCCCTTCACGAACTTACCGTGGTGGGAAAAAAATCAAAGATTTCATTGGGGACCGGCAAAAGGGACCACCGTCACGCGACAGAGGCTCCCCACCCCCCGCCCCCTGGAATACCCAAATCGTTGCCCTCCCGTTTGCCCTGAACACGAGAGGCCGACCGAAACTGAATTTCAGGTTTCGGGCGAAAACGAAACCAGACCGAAAGTTAAAAATTTACTTTCGGCCGAAACCGAAAGTATGCCGAAGGAGGCCAAAACCGAATTTCGGTCGGCCTCTACTGAACAC